TATTTCACATTTCTTGGCGCGGTTTCAGCAAGTTGTTTTTGGTTTTTCCTTGTTTCGCCTTCTCATGTCCTAATGCCGATTAAATGTGAGAATACATGTACTGTACTACAGATGGTGGCATATTTTCCTGCCTAGATGTTGACTGAGCTCGCACACATTACTGTAACTTTATGGTAGGTTTGCACAATTCATACGACAACATACAATCATGAGCAAACTGTACACTTGAGTCTTAGCTCCATATATAAGTACACACCAAATCAAATTCCTGCCTGTACATCAAATAAGACTGGGGGACTTTGTTGTTCTTTCTCATACATTATTTAGCACAGAGTATTCACAAAGACACATCCACAATGTTACTGAGCACATCTGCAGGGAGAGTGCCACACCAATCGCATGCATCTTTGTTGCTTTGAAGTATTTTTAGCTCTGCTTCTTTGGTGTATCAGCGTGCTTCCAGGAGGCAAGTGCTGCAGATGAAGAGTAGTGTCTTCCACCTGCCACATCTTCTTTCACGTACCTGGCTCCCGATTTCTTTCAGATCTTCGTCTGTCAGTTTCACCATCAAGGAGTCAATGCTGGAATCTAGATTCTTGTTGGTAGTAGAGGTCGATGCCGAGGCGGCGCAGGCTGGCCTCGCAGCAGGCGCGAACGTACTCCGGCCGTCCACACACGGTCCGCGTGCCGCTCTCGTCACGCCGTATCCCGAACTTGGTGGCCACTTGCACCTGCTCCCGCGGCAGCTGCTTCAAAGAGTCCATGTGCCTTTAATTGAAAAGATTGATAAGAGATTGTTGCGTGGCAAGGTCCCTTTTTAAAACAGGACTGGCACACTTTACTTTGGTCACGCCAGTTTGGTTCTCCATACCTAACTTACACTTTCACTATTTTCTCTGTATCCCCTCTATCAGCATGGGCGCACAAATAATTTGACAGGATTCACAGGTCCTTCATTTGGAAAGGAAAAAAGGGAGAAAACGTGGCCACTGCCTCGTCAACTGGGGAAACGCAAACAGGCTGGAGAAACATGGATTAGGTGTCTTGGAGTTAAAAAAATGGACGAGCACTAAGATTGCGGTGGCTTTAGCTACAAATGGTTAATGACTCAACCTTAGGTCGATATGTGGACCTTCCTTGTGATGCCACAAACCGACTGCTATTTAATACATCCACCACGGCTATTTGAGAATGAAGAAAGGGCCAAATTTAGCATAGGCAGTTGGCTGCACGGAGTTGCTCCAAGAACTCTAGCTCCGAACTTATACTCTCTACGTCCAAAAATAAATGACCTTATAGAATTCAAATTTTAGCTCAAAATACTATACATTCTCATTTTCAATGCACCTTTCTCTTTTTCTAATACACATTTTTCTCTTCCAATACATCTCTATATATCTCTACCTCTCTGTCTATCTCTCTCTCTCTTTTTGTTTTCTGTGCATCACACTTTCAGGCTGCTCAGTTTCTCTACTCGTTACTATACCACCTTGTAGAGTGAGGATACACAACTAGCATGTGTGTGTTTGATTGGCTTGCCTCACTGCCTCGAAGTCCATGTGAGCTAGTTTTTCTTTGCTCGAATGAGAGACCGATTTAATTCGCTTGGCTAGGCAAGTTTATTGTTTCCTATGTCAGCGAAGCAAAGGCAAGGCACGTCCAAAACCAAACACGTCCTTATTCACTCTTCCTTAATTCCCTTGCCAAGACCTATAAGATCATCTATTTTGGAATAAAGGGGGTATAACTTTATGAAGTTCAAGAACAAAAGACACGACAGTTGGCTTCACGTGAGAGGTATTGGGGGAGGAGGAACTTCCCCTTTCTTTGACGGTCGACAGGCAACTTATGCGCGGTTGAGGATCTTTTTTTATTTTAAAGATGAAATAGGAAAATTCTAGGAGCAACTAAATCCTTAAATACTACCCCTCTGTTCCAAATTGTAATATGTCCTGTCTTTTATAAGTATATTCCTTTGTTACATGCACCTTTATATCTAGTTCTATATTAAAAATAACCTAAATACTAGATTTCGGACGCGCGCGCGTTAGCGCTATGGCATGCGCAGCCCTCGCTGCCTTCCGATCTCACCGTACGGTTAGCGTAGCATATCATATACTGATACGTACCGTACGTGGGGTCACACGAACCTAATTTTTTACTATTTAACCTTTTTTTTTGAATAAAATTTACATTTGGCCTCCTGAGAGACTTAAACTCATCTTTGGACCCTGGAGGTCGGCGCCATGAGTTCTGACGCCGAGGTAACACGTCTCGGCGCCACAGATCTCGGCGCCGAGGTAGCTGGCCGTGCACAGAAGAAAATCCTACGTGGCCGGTACCTCGGCGTCATAATACATGGCGCCGACCTCGGCGCCACGGACTCTGGCGCCGACCTCGGATAATTAAAAAAACTAGCGTGTAGCAGTGCCCTTGCGTCAGGATGGAGCAGCCGCACCACGTGCCCGCTCGAGGAGCTCGGTGACCGTGTACGCAACATGCTTCGATTCGACGGCATCGCTTTGCGGTCTTGTGCTGAGCGAGGCGCGGACAATTTGAAGCAGCGATGGGGCGAGGCGGGGATGGGCGGCGGCGGGGCTCGAGCACTTGAAAGGAATAAAAAACAGTAGAGCCATCGTTTCATGCTTCACACACATCAATCGTGCTCGTGTCGTGCTGTTTGATAGGAGTACTAGTAGGAGCTATCACCTCATTTCTTTGCGATCGTGGGCACATTGCCAACATAGCGGCAGGTGGCACCAGCAGGTTGTGCTTTTAAGCTGCAGTTCAACATAGCAGACGCGCCTTCTCCATGGTGAGAAGACATAAATGATAAGAGAACTACTCCAATACTTTTCTTTTATAAAATTATACACTTGATGAGAAGGCACGCCTTTTATAAAATGGAGAACAGTACATAATTGGTTTGTTGTATCTATCATACCTGTAATGAGAATAACACACACAGCTTATCAAAGAACGACGACAATAATTAAGAAATAATAACAAACTTAGGCCCTGTTTGGTTTGGACAGGCACTCCTAAAATTCCTATCACATTGGATGTTTAGATACATGCATGGAGTATTAAATATAGACTAATTACGAAACTAATTACACAACTAGCGACTAATTTGCGAGATAAATCTTTTAAGCCTAATTAGTCCATGATTTGACAACGTGGTGCTACAGTAAACATGTGCTAATGACAGATTAATTAGTTATCAAAAAATTATCTCGCAAATTAGCCTCTATCTATGTAATTAATTTTATAATTAATCTATATTTAATGCTCTTTATTAGTATCTAAACATTTGATGTGACATGAATTTTACGAGCCACTAAAGAACCAAACACTCCATAAGTTCGATGCTCTTTATTAGTAGCTGAGCTGATAGCCTGATACGTACTCCTCCTACTATTACTCCTATCAAATAGGCACGACACGAGCACGATTGACAGTGCGTGAAGCATGAAACGATGGCCTGCTGTTTTTTATTCCTTTCAAGTGCCTGAGCCCGCTCGCCGTCCCGCCTCATCCCATCATTTGCCCGGTTAAATCGCCGCGCGCCTCTGCTACGCACTGCAAAGCGATGCCGTCCGAATCGAAGCATGCGCGCACAGTCACCGAGCTCCCCGACAGCACGCATGGTGCGGTTGCTCCATCCTGACGCAAGGGCACTGCTACACGCTAGTTTTTTTAATTATCCGAGGTCGGCGCCAAAGTCCGTGGCGCCGAGGTCGGCGCCAAAGTCCATGGCGCCGAGGTCGGCGCCATGTATTATGGCGCCGAGGTACCGGCCACGTAGGATTTTTTTATGTGCACGGCCAGTTACCTCGGCGCCAAAATCTATGGCGCCGAGACGTGTTACCTCGGCGTCAGAACTCATGGCGCCGACCCCAGGGTCAAAGATGAGTTTAAGTCTCTCAGGAAGCCAAATGTAAATTTTATTAAAAAGGGTTAAATAGTAAAAAAATAGATCACACATCAGGCACGTAAAGTTAGCACTCAGACGTCGATCCCCATTTCTACTCTTTCGTTCTCTCCAGAACATGAAAAAAATTTCTCTGGGGTCTGAGGAGTCAGGAGTGAAGGCGATCGTCTTTTTCCTTGCGCGGTTTTCTAGATGTGGGCCCAACTCGAAAGGTGCTAGCGGAAATTATTTTTCCAGCGCGCAGTAGGGTGTGGTGCCTGCCAACTGAAAATGGAAAGCGGGGGATAGTAGTTTGCTAATATGAAATGTGCATCCGGATATCTTAAATACTGCGCGTTCGTGCTGTAGTAACGTTCAATAAATAATGTATCTTAAAAAGTTAGATTAACTCATAATTTAAAATAGATGGAGTAGTTTTTATTTTTGTTAGGGATTGAAATTAAGGAACTGCAAGAAGCGAGAGATGTTCTTGGCCCTGATTTAGTTACCCAGAATCTAAATTTTGGCACTATGTAAAAAAAGATTCTCCGTCACATCAAATTTACGGTATATGTATAGAGTACTAAATGTTGACGAAATCAAAAACTAATTACACAGTTTAGTTGTACTTTGCGAGACAAACGTTTTGAACCTAATTAATCAACGATTGAACAATTATTACCAAATACAAACGAAATACTACAATAGTCTACAGTGCCGAAGAATTCCGGCGGCGCCGATTCTGTAAGCAACTAAACGCGGCCTTGAATATAGTACTGTACTTTATTAGTCTCCACGACTGCAAATGTGGCCCGGCCCGGGCCCCTCATCTGATTAACCAAACCGCTTGCCGTCGCGAGCCCGATCCGGCACCAGAATCCTACCCCCTCACCCTTTCTTGACTTTCTTCTCCGCTGCTCCGTCTCCTCTGGTTCGACGTCCTGACTCGCTGCTCCGCCACGCCGCGTTCGGATCCGGCCCTGAGCCTTTCCCGATCCCGCCCGGTCCCCTGCACCGCTCGGCACGATCCGCCCCCTCTCCACGACCGGTCCGCCGCTGAGCTCCCGGCGCTTCTGCGGCCGGCGCCATGGCGACCGGCGGCGGCACCGAGCTGCCGCCGGCGGAGGCCGAGCCGCTGGAGCTCGTGCTGTTCCAGGTCGCCGAGTGCTACGTCTACCTGGTTCGCCCCCCTTGCCCTGCCTCCGACACTTCGTGTTCCTTCTATTTCATTCACGGATAGTTGTAGTGTAGTGTCATGTGCTCTGCCCATGCCAGCACCCCTCTGCAGGTTTGGGCGGCGAAGTTCGTCCGAAGCGTGCTAATTAGGTTGTGGGTTTATGCGCAGATACCTCCGAGGATGACGGCTGCCTCCTACAGGTGCACTTCTTGTCTCACCAAGGATGTTGTAGTCGACTTGGTAGGAGTAGGATCTGGGATGCAATTCTTTATGCCTGGAATGCAGACACAGTTAGGAGTGGCTGTCAGTGCTATGTGCTAGATCGATCTTAATAATAAGCAAACTTGGCTAAGGGCTGTCACGTTTCACCTATGCTTAGTTGCTCCCCCACATTTGCTCAGAGACCATTGGAGCGGTTCACTTCATGATTGCGCTCATTCCTTCCTGATTCAGTACAAGTTGGGATTAATTTGTTCCATGGAAATAATCGATTAAACTCGTGGTAAAATCCAGGGCGGATGAGTGGAACGTCAACAAGTGGGCATGGGAAGGGGCGCTTAAGGTTGTCAGCAAGGGAGAAGAATGCATCATTAAACTGGAAGATATGAACACTGGTATTATAGTCATTTTAGTTCTTTTGGTCAATTTCCTTTTTCTTCATCACAGTATTGAGTTATTGATTCAGTGAATGTGTTTCAGGGGAGCTTTACGCTAGGGCATTTCTCAGAGAGGGTGAACCACATCCAGTGGAACCTGTAATTGATAGCAGCAGGTCTGTATCTGACGCTGCCACAAAATATAATCCAATCCTACAATTAAATATGTTCCTTTGTATTTTCCACTATCCATAAGAAAACTGCTTGAAGATTATACGCAGAGCCTGACATGATTCTTGCTGTTTGTATATTTTTCTTGCAGATATTTTGTACTACGCATTGAAGAGAATATAGGTGATGACTGTCTTTCTATTGTTTTCTCGAACACACAGAGAGCTCTGCCATTTCATTAATATAGAAGAAGAAAAATTTGTTAGTTCACAGGTCCTAACTGCCCATTAATAACATTAACAATACAGCATATGCACCACGGGCATAGTATAAATGACCCACTTAGGCCTCGTTTGGATGCGCATGTATTCATCTCAATCCACATGTGTTGAAGTGGATTGGAGTGAAATTAAACTAAATTCCATTCCATTCCACTGCGACACATGTGGATTGAAGTAGATACACATGCATCCAAACAAGGCCTTAGGGATTACCTAAAGAAACCTGAACGCAATACTCAGCTTAAAAAACTGTGTTTGGTTCAGGAGACACTCCATTGATAAAACTTGACCAATCCTAAAAGGAATAGGTGGCTTTATTATCTTAGTATTAATTAAGAAGAAAATAAGTAGTCAAATTCGCCTAACGAGGACTTGAACCTAGGTTTTGTGGGTGTGCATCCACACCCTTAACCAGCTGAGCTGGGCTCAGCTTCCTTGTCTCTTTCGTGGGCTCTATGATATTCCTTGTGCCTTAATGTTCTACTTAGTGGTTAGTGTTGAGTTGCGGTCTTGAGGATTCATAGCACTTGGTACTTAATGTTGAATTGGTGTGGCCACTTCAGTCTCATGTTGGGTAATATATTAGCATAACAAATCTTATCGTCAACTTCAGATGGGCGTCAGCGTCATGCTTTCATAGGTTTAGGCTTCCGGGAAAGACCTGAAGCATATGACTTCCAAGCTGCTCTACATGATCATATGAAGTATCCTTCTGTTCATTCAAACATGTTATGAATCTCATAATTTGCAAAATCACGTGATTTTCTTTTCCTGTGCGATTCCTCAATGACTAGGAGTTCTATATGTGGAATTCTATTTGATGTGGCCATTGACTATTGATTATCGATTAGCAATGCTGCATGATGGATTGTTGTCTGGGACCTTTTAATATCTGATTATTAGATCCTCTACCCATGCATTCAGATCTTAGCTTATTTGGCAAGTGTGTTTTAATGTGAGTTCTATGAAATATTTTTATGTTTTCCACAAGGAATCCAATTCATTTCCTGCGATCATCATTTTGTGATCATGCTTCCAGTATCTTTATATGATGCACTATTTTGCCTCTATGATTTGTTCTTCTCTTACATTATCAAAGATATTTAAACAAGAAGAAGGCTGCTGAAGAGATGGTTCAGCATTATGAGAAGCAATCATCAGTGGATTACAGCCTCAAAGAAGGAGAGACATTGGTTCTTCAGCTTAAAAATGTAAGTTTTCATCTAAAAGTTTTCTGGAAGAAAATGAAATCAGAGAGCCCGTTGATGATAGATTGTCTTCTAAGGTGTGCAAAACTAGAATATTGGATTTTTTTTCTCCATAGTACCCTAGGTTACTCAAGCAATGGCATGTGGTACCGCATTAGGTGGATATGTTCATTGGATAGATAGCAATAAACTGTTGGATCATTGGATCCTTGCTAATCTATGAGAGCATAAAAAAAACATGGTCGATCTATGCCGTGTTTATCTAGAATATATTCATGTAAATGTACAGCCACTTCTAAACTGAATCTCAGTTCTGATTACGCATAGTTCCCATCTAGATTTCTGTTATGGCATTTGAGCAGCACATCCTTGCATATCCGTAGATATATTTAATTGAGGCTTTGAGCTACTCTTTCATAGGAACCTGAAAAAAATTGAGCGCTCCTGTACTGCATTGAAGGGTATTTGCAGTGGTGCCAAATTTTGTGTAAATAAAACGTTTGTTCATAATTTTTTGTAACACGTGTGTGCATCGCTTTTTCATTCAATTTCTATAAATACATTTATCTTTGTGTAATGTTTCCTGAGTGTTTGGCTTTGCTTTTATTCTTTGCAGAAAGAAACTGGCACCAAGACAAAATCAGCATTTTTTGAGCAAGGCCTAAACAAGCTCTCAGTGAACGAAAAGACAAACACCAAGGAGGCCCCCGTCTCCCTTAAACTCCCACCACCGCCACCTTCGCCTGTCTCTCCAACGGATTCTGGAGTCGCTGCTTCGCCTTTCAAAGCAGAATTTCCTCCCCAAGGGCAACCAGCTGCTGAACCCATCAGCAGAACCAGCGTTCTCCCTTCCAAAGGTGAACCTGCTCCGGAGCTACCAGCTGCTGCAGAGAAGATGGAGCAAAAAACCGTGGATGATGACTTCGGGGACTTCCAGGCTGCTGGGTGATATCATGTATCTTGTACATACAGAATGTTACTGAGACCACATTTTCATTTTTGGTTTATCTTCTTTCAATCAGTTGTGACTTCTGCCGGCACCCGGTGTTTCTGTATAGAGAGCTTCCATCTCATAACCTATATACAAAATACATGGACAAACGCTGTACCTTTTCTTTTGACGTAGCATCTCAGATTTTGTATTCGGGCCATGGAGTTATAAAAATTCGCATATCAACATTGTCTCAGCTATTCTTGGAGATCAACGAAGACGGTGCCGGGGGCAGAAGGAGGAAGAGAGAAAGGGAGGGGCTACCGCCCATGTCTCTGTAGACGAGGAAGAGAGAAAGCAAGAGGATGCCCCTTGTCTGCGTAGACAAAGAGGAAGGAGGAAGAGAGAAAGCAAGAGGGGCTACCGCCCATGTCTCCGTAGACATGGAGGAAGAGAAAGCAAGAGGATGCCCCATGTCTCCGTAGACACGGAGGAAGAGAGAAAGCAAGAGGTGCTACCGCCCATGTCTCCATAGACGAGGAAGAGAGAGCAAGAGGATGCCCATGTCTCCGCAGACAAGGAGGGAGGAGGAAGAGAAAGCAAGAGGAGCTACCTCTAGTCTTATGTAGTTATGTAAGCAAGGCGAACGTGACACATTCAGTTATCAATACATCTATAACTCTCAGAAACCAACACCGAGCCAAGGAAACAAACATCGAACCAACTGAACTAGACATCGAGCCATGCAGAAAATAAGCAGTATTCGGCTAGACTTGTTTTTGTGTGTTACAAGTATATAAAAGCTAGCAACGTGGCTGAATGTCAGAAGTGTTTATAGGGTGGTTGCTGATTGCTTCGTATTGTTGAGACTGAGTCATTCCACAATGTCATTTCGCCATCTCTTGTATCAAATTGTAGTAGGAAATGATATTTACAGTAGTCAAAACCATTGTAATATATCAGACCTCGAAGAAATCGTCTTCATCAGTTTCATCCACCCACTCGACCTGTGAGTAAGATGTGGATTTCATCAAGTCCGTGAGGCCAGTTAGGTCTTCCAAATAAGTTGGTTCATTGATCACTTGCATCACAAAATCCATTCCACTCCTCCGATATTCAGACAATACCTGTGATGTTTTGCATGTAATCAAATAAGAGATCCGTAGCATAGCTGTCAGCAAACTTTAGTATCGTTTGCATTATTGGAACCGGAAAAGGATGAAACAAACTCGAGCACTCTCAGAACTAAAACAGAAGCTACGCCAACAGACACGAGAGCAGAGGTATTTGTGGCGACGCACGCCTTTTCTCTTCTCTGTATTCTCAGTTAAAGCAATGACCATGCCGAGTACTTGGCTCATAGTCCAGCTTACTGCTTACATGCGCAAGGGAGCATGTATCAATTGCCCTGATCTCGCGCAAGCATGCTCTGCATCAGCGTAAGCCGCAATGACACAGTCACCCATGTGCCCTGATCAAGCCAGACCTCATAACATGCCCAAACGCACACCCTTCTGACTAGCATAGGCTAACAAGCTAACTTGTACTGTACATGCAACAGACATGCAGAGACTCTAAACGTACAAGACACGTATCCACTACTAACTCATACTCCCTCTGTTCCAAATTAAAAGTTGCTTTGACTTTTTTGGTACATAGAATTTGCTATGTATCTAGACATATATAATATCTAGATACATAGCAAAATGGATGTACCAAAAAGTCAAAGCGACTTATAATTTGAAACGGAGGGAGTATTAACTCATGTAGATACTCTAAAACTCATACCCATGGAAAGCGCTAACATGCATGTTGTGCAATAGTAGAAAGTATACATACCGCATTGGAACATGCCGTGCAATTACTCGAGGAATAGCCCAACAGGGTTAATAAGTTGTACTGCGATAGTGATCCACGCATCTGGTGAGGTAATAGGCCATGGTCATGACCACTGCTTGTACCAGCAATCTCTCCTAGAGCATGTATCCTGCAACAGGTAGAAGAATTTATCAGACTTCCTTGCTTTTTGTTCACTGGATGCAGTTAGCATCTTCCTTGGAGATGATAACACAGGACGTCATGGTATCGTTCCAGCTTCCAGCAGGTGCCCAGTTGCTTACCCATCTGGATGATGTAACATTCTTGTGAAAAGGTCTGCGGTGCGTCCAGATGCAATAGAGGCCAACCCAGGTCGTGTCACTGTACATTGTTGATCCAGTGTCCGATTGGAAACTGACTGCATTAAACATAATGCCATGATTGTAGTAGGTAACATATTGAAAGCAAGACAAGTACGATTTCCAAAACATGGAACATTACATCAACAGGAGCAATGACGTCATTGCAGAAATAACACCCCAGCCTTTGACGCCCAAGGGCATCCTCTGTGGATAGCTTATCTGTGGCAGTGGCCACACTGGAAGCTTCACAGCTTATGCCAGGACCAGCCCCATGTCGCATAACAAGGTAACTATCATACCCTAATGCTGCAGTAATAGCAATCTGCAGTGCAGAGGGGCATTAGCATATAACACATTCCAAGGTCTACATTATTCAAGGATGCCTAGAGGGTTCACCTTGTTTTCATTAGTGCAGAGGAGAGTTGGAAGCCACCTACTTTCTCTTGTGTCAGTCAACAAGAAGACAGCATCGTGGGAAGCCACTAATTCCTTAAGGCGCTCGCAATCTTGGAGCACACCAGCTGCTTCACCAGGAGACACAGGATGCCCAGGCATAGGTATTTCCATTCTAATGCCTTGTGCATCCTACATGAGCGCATGGCACAAATTCATTAAGATGATAAAACAGTAAAAAGAAAAAGGAAGTAATATAGTTTTAAGGGCAACAAAGTGAAGACTCACCACTGAAGGACATCTCTCCACTAGATGCCTAAGTATTGCAGTTGCTTTTGGAGCACCACGGTCATCAGAAGTATAGAGTGATTGTCTCGCTAAATTTGACACAACTACACGACCACTATCAACTACTGTTAGCTTCCGTACACCACAGTCCTGCAAAGTTGGTTTCCACCAGAGTGTATGAGTAGATGTTGTATTTGACATAAAAATAATGTCATTCGCAATAGTGAGTCACTGACCATAAGAATGCGAGCAACATCACATCCAAGAGTTCCAGCACCCAATAGTAGACATCGGACATCAGAAATCTTGTCTGAATTTACAGAGATGCTGGCTGGTATTTTAGGACAAGTATCTGGCCTTTTCAAATCAGAAATGCCTGTAAAATCTTTCAGATATGTTGGATAGCTGATGGCCTGCATGACAAAATCCAATCCTCTTCTTCTATATTCTGACAATACCTGGAATGTTTAGCACAGAGTAACATTAGAAGCCATAAAATTGTGAATGTAATGTCATGCGGTAGAATTTACTTACAGCAACAGAACATGCAGTACAATTGACTGAGGAATTGCTCAGTTCCATAGATAAAACACACTTCGGGAGTGATCCTCGTAGCTGATGCGGCAATAGACCAAGCTGATGTTCTGTTTCCATACCAGCAGTATCGCCTGGGGCATGTATCCTGCAAAAGGGTATGATACTTACGGCACCACATGGTGGACTGAATATTTTTTTTTAACTTCCCTACTGCTTAGCTCACTTAGGTCTGTAAAAAACTAATATTCACTATCAATGCTACACAAACATACTCCCTCCATCTACAAAAGAATGCAATTCTCGCTTTTCGAGAAGTCAAACAGTTTGAACTTTGATAAATCTATATAAAAAAGTATCAACATTCATGATACAAAATAAGTATCATTAAATTAGTTATAGAGTATATTTTCATAATAAATTTATTTGGAGACGTAAATGCTAATACTATTTAATATAAACTTGGTCAAACTTGAGCTAGTTCGACTGGCACAGATCCTATAATTGTGTTCTTTTGGACAGAGGGAGTACGTTGGACTCAGCATTTCAGCAATAATCTTTGAGGCATCTTACTCGTCAGGATGATGTAACATCCTAGCAAAGAGCTCCACTGCTTTGCCAGATGCAACTGAGGTAAGTCCAGGTAGTGTTCCATAAGGAATTGGCTGCAAAAGAATAAAACTGAACATGAAGGGCCAATAATAAAGTATAAAACAGAAACAAAAGGAGAACATGTACGTTAATAAGGGAAGCGGCATCATTGCAGAAACAACAGCCCAATCTTTGATGACCAAGAGCATCTTCTGTGGACAAATTTACTATCTGAGTAATCACTTCATCGGCACCCCCACTTGTTCCTGGCCCAGCACCATGCCGCATGACAAGGTAACTGTCACATCCTAATACTGCACTAATAGCAATCTGCAGTGGAAGTATAACATATCATTAGTAAATAGCACACTATACACAATGAAAAAGTAGAGGTTAAGAGTAATTTTTGTAACTAAGACATGTGGTTAATCTATCTGGATTCTCTCCTCCAGCCATAGGCTAAGTACTTAGACATTGTTGTACAAGAACAGCTGAAAAGGTCCTTAGCCAATGGATACTGTGTTCAAGGTTTACCTTGTTTTCACTTGCACAGAGAAGAGTTGGAAGCCACCTGCTCTCCCATTTGTCAGTTAACAAGAAGACTGCATCATTGGCAGCCACTAATGTTTGCAGATGCTTGCAGTCATCAAGCACACTTGCCATTTTGCTGGAAGAAACAGGATGCCCAGGCACTGGTATTTCCATTTGGATGCCTTCAACATCCTGCATGACAGCAATCACCATCGTTTATCCACAGTAGAAATTCGAAAGCATATGTTTCATGGAAAAGATTGTCCTCACCACTGCAGGACATCTTTCTTTTAGATGTGGAACTATTGCAGTTACTCTTGGAACTCCACAGTCCTTATCTATGTAGAGTGATTGCTTGACAAGGTCAGACGTTGCAACACTATTACTATCAACAACCGTTAGTTTCCGTACTCCCCAGGTCTGAAAAAAAAAAGAAATAGTTGCCACTATAAATTAGAAGCAGGATATAAAGACATATAATCTGTTAGATTTATTACGAATAGGAATCTAGTACCAGCTCAAAGCACTAACCATAAGAAGGCGAGCAACTTCACATCCAAGAGTTCCAGCACCCAAAAGAAGAACTCGAACATGAGATAACTTGTCTATATTCACAGGAAAGTGGCGCCACCCCATAAGCTTTAAGTGCATCAATTGTTTTTCTTCATCCTGACTGTGCATGAAATAAACAATCAAGATAGTTTTTTATGCACTGTTGATTATATCGAAACTCGAAGGCAAAATATACAATAAAACCACCTTGCTGGATTCATTGATTGAAGATCTATTTCTTTTGGTTTCATTTCTTTTGTTCCCTTCCCTGGGTTTATTCCTTCCCATCCAATAGCATCAGGTAGAAAATCAGGGTCATCCCAACCTGTAGTAACAACCAGTGTTACAAATGGACAAATCATAGATGAAAGTGCAGAATGACATTTAAATCCACCATATTTATACCACAAGGTGATGGAAATGACGCTTCACCAATGAGGGACTGTTCCAGATCAGGGTTCCCTTTATATTCACGGTAGCAGAAAAACTGGACTTTCTCAATCTTCCATCGGATGCTCAGAAAGGCAACATAGTTTCTAATAACCCAACCAGGGAAATCTGAGCGACACCCATGATCATAAAATCCAAATAGTAGCTGCAACAGCAAAGCAATGAATTTACTTCACACAAAGATATACATGAAGAAGGGTAAAAAAGCAGTTATTCTTCTAAAGGAATTATCAAACTTCAGCTAGTATAGATGATCAAATGGATGGCACAAACATACCTTTTGATAGTTCCCCTGGCAAGCTTTCCAGTCCTTAAGTTGTCTTATAGAGGCAGAGGAATCTGAGGATATACTAACCAGAAAGAATGGAATAACTGCAGAGATGTTAATACAATGCAACAATAAATTAGAAAATCAGATCAACATAACAAATTAATAATATGGTGTCAAGCATATGCATTTGCTGTTAAGCATAGTTCTCAAACCTGTTGTTTCACTAGAAGCGCGCCACTTTTGCAATGATGTATGCATGGATGCTGCCTGCAGGAACAAATCAACAGATTTCAGAACCAACTGAGAGCATTAAACAAGGAAACTAGTGTCGTTGAATACTACGTGCACATGAACATGACCTCTTCTTTAGTGAGCACTTTTGAGGCAGGTTGCAGGCTGAGCAGGGTCATTCTTGAGTTGAAAACCAATGAGGGGAATGCAACATTGTAATAGACCTTCCAATTCTTCAAATCGGCAAATGATGTCACAAGGAACCTAAGTAGAACAGAAGGATCCTCTTCCACTTTACCAGACACAATGTCTTGCAAGATCTGGCCCCACATACAAATTAGAACCAGACAAGTAAAAGAAATGCGTAAACAACAGCAAATTCCAGGTCAACCATACCTTCTTTGCTTCTGCTTTCAGAAGCTGTACTCTATCTAGGTTTTGAAATCCCCTCATGTTATTAGTGTTTATGAGGGTCCCTGGGACTGGGCAATTGTTTCTGTCGCCAACAGAATTGTGAGATGGCGGCACTAATGATCCTGACCGTAGGTTGAAGAAGCTTGCCATCGGGCGACGCTGGCGTGGAGTATAATAACCTGATATATTTCAAAAGAAACTGTCTAGCTCATCCAGAGATCTCTAGTCTAGCTCACTGTCAATAAAATTAAGGAAAAACACAAAACTGAAATTCTCTATTGGGAATTTCTTCCGATAAAACGCAACAGTTCAGCCTCGGAGTCAAAATTTGCGTGTTAAGAGTAGACACAGCAGAGCGCAAAGAGTAATTAGCAGCCACACTCCGGCGAACCCACTCAACAACCAAACAAACTTGGATCGTGACCGGCAAGCAACTTAAGGCGGGTTGGGCTCTACGGAAGTCCGGAAGCGGGGCGCGGAAATGCAAGGGATCAGCGTTCGTTCCCTGCCCTAAATCGCGAATTCTACAAACAAACAGCGAAGAGAGGGGGTTGTGGGCGCGCGGACCGGTGATTGGGATGGGGGAGTCGTCGGTGCCGAGGACGTCGAGCTTGAGGCGGCGGAGCGCGTCCCAGAACCCCTCCTCCACTAAGCTCTGGATGCGCTGAACCATCAGCTCCCGTGGGAAGCCCACCGCACCGGCACCCGCCATACCTCTCGTCTTCCGTCTTCCCTCCGCCGGCACGGCGAGCGGCACTGCACTTTGTTTTTACTTTTTTTTTTCTAGTTTGCCCCCTGGTTCCGAGGATTGGAGTTTGGACGTTGCTTTGGCGTGCATACAACTCGAAAACGTTCCGTGGAGTCGTAAAAGACCACAAAGACATCCCGTGGGAGTGTCATACTCCTACAAGTCATCCTGACACAAATGATTATTACGCTGCTAAGGAATTTGATAAATAAATTTCACCTATAAAAAATGATCACCATTTCACCAACACCTAAATTACTCTAGCCATGCGAGTATATACGAGGAACAAATTCAAATGTTTTGTAAGTGAGTCTAGTTCAATTGGTTGAGCTAGGTGTATATTAGGTACGGTAGAGGTGTAAATGGATCGAATACGGTTACCTACGAATATGAATACGGGATAATTATCGGTTACAGATATTGCGGCTAAGATATGACTGGATATCAACATTGTATATATCAAATTTGAGTATCCGGATACCGATAAGGTACGAATACTAAATCTCTGGATTCAAAACATTTATTTTGCATAATGAAGCCCTTTGATTATTTGGTCGACAACATATATTTCCAAATCTGAGTATTCGATATGGATACAGTAAGTATACTAAATCTCTATATTCGGATACGATATATTTCTCTCAGATAATGAAGCCCTTTGGTCGATCGGTTGGAAACTACTCGTACCATTTACACTTGCTTGACAGCGTTGGATTAATTGATTGACCCAAGGCTCTTATAAGCTAGAGCAAGTATTTCTTCACTCTATCCACCATATCAAGACATTCAAGATCAAGTTGTAGGCTAAGATATACACTATTGTACATCCTTGTGAGTTTAGACCTTAGAGCTTGAGATCTTTGAGAGATTAGTCATGATGCCCTTGTATGTTGGTGATCCGGAGCGCTCGAGGTCTTTATTGTCTTCTACGGTGGTGATCCTCCATTCTTGGTGTGAAGCAACGTTGTATCGGTGTGCAAGCAACTCTCCATTATTGTATTTCATCATGTGATTATCGCCAACGACCCCCTATGTTCAAATCCTACTAGCTTCATTTTTTTTTTTTTTGTTATGTATCTAGATATACATTATTTATAGATATATTGTAGAATTATGTATCTTAAATAAAAAAATGTAGAACAACTTATAATTTAGAACGAAGGGAGTACAAGTTAATAAGATCACTTGTATTGTATGTACTTCTTAGAGATGGGATATTGGTAATCCGCCGGAGATACTATTAGCAAGCAAGTTCGCCGGCACGATGCAATGCAAGTACCGCCGTTTGCATCCAACAATGTCGTTGACAGTGAACGTCTGACACTAGTGAAGTATAAATCTTTTATAAAAGATGAGGTACCACACACATGGCCATAGCTAAAGCCCAATAACAACCATGATCTACGCGAACTTGGCGAGCTCGTCGGCGAACGCCGCAACGTGAGGTTCCTCAACGCAGCGGAGCATGAGCCGGATGCCGCGCTTAGGCGCGGGCGGTTTGAGGTAGATCACCGACGCGACGATGTTGACGTCGTCATTGAGCGTGAAGACGTACCCCGGTTCGCCGAAGCCGTAATCCACCTCGTTGAACCCGACGCGGCTCCAGTCCGACACCGTCACCGTGCCGTAGTCCAGCGGCACGTTGTAGTGGTCGTCCTTGGCGCCGCCGCGCATCCAGTCCGTGAAGCGCGTCGTGAGCGCCTCCTTGGCCTCCCGCATGACGCCGACCACCTCCGGAAGCGACGCCTCACGGATCGCCTTGCTGGTCCGGGTGATGCCCACGGGGTACACGCAGTTGCCGTAGTAGCCGTCCACCGACGGCAGCACGCCGTGGAGGAGGTGCCGCGTGCTGGCGGCGAAGCCGAGCCGGACCTCGGCGTCGTCGGGGAGCGCCATCGCCAGCGCGCGGCACTTGAACACCACCGCCGTGACAGCGTCGAAGGTGGAGCAGGTCTGCCCCGTCGCGTCCTTGAACTCGTCCTTGATGCGCGCGATGCTCTCCGGCGAGATCTCGACCACCTGGGTCACGAAGCTGAACGCCGTGAACGACGGCGGGGGGCCGCGCGGCAGCTTAGGCGGGTCCGGGATCGCGTCGCGGTCCCAGACCGGCGCGATCGACGGCGCCGGCAGCCCCCGCGCCATCTCGCCAGCCGCCTTGAGGAACTGCGCCGCGCCCTGCCCGTCGAACACCAGGTGGCTGAAGCAGATCCCGACCGCGAACCCGCCGCAGGTGAACTTGGTCACCTGTAGAGCACAAATTCTCAGCACCCGAAGACGATCCCATCTCTCCCCGGATCCGGCTAATCTTCCTAGTTGTCGGATACTGGGATAAGACAGGGGAATCTGGAGGCGATCGATCGAACCCGAGCCACGAGGACGAGGTCCTCGAGCTTCTCCTCGGGGGGAGGGCGCGGGAGGAGCTCCTCCTTGGGGATGAGCAGAGGGCGCTCGAGGTAGTTCACGTCGGCGAGCGCGCAGCTCGCAGCGGCCTCCACAAACCAGACGCCCTGCCCAGTGCAGTCCACGACGGGCTCCCCGGGGCTCGCGTCCGCGATGCGGCCGGCCACCGGGTAGTACGGCACCAGCGCCTTCGCGAAGCCGTCGCGCATCGCGGCCACGGCGGCGTCTTGGTCCCCGCCGGCTCCTGCGGCCGGGGGGAAAACCTGGATGAAATCCACTGACACGCGGACCGCCGCGGTCTTGTCGATGGAGGACAGTGGGAGGGTGCCGCCGGGGGTTGGCCCCGCTGGCGCGATGAGCTCCGGAGCCGATTTCACGACGGTGGGGGCGGCGGCGGCGGCGGCGGCAGACATGACGGTGTCGGCTGGTGGAGCGGAGCGGTGGGCTCGAGTAGCAGCAAGAAGCGGAGTTGGTGCTTGCGGTGCTCACCACTCACTAGCAGTAAGTGGAGCGGAGGTTGTAACGACCCGAAAATCCAAGCACCAAAAATTACAACTATAAAATTTTTGTTTAAACCCTATATAATATTGAGTGATACATATATAAGCCAAACCCAGTTCTGGATTAGATATGACCCAACTAGGTTAAGATTATAAGCATAGCCTGGTTTTATGCCACATATGAAATTAAATTCCTAAATAAATAAATCATGCATACATCCTTAATTCCACTTGTGATTCGGATTCTTTTGCTTTATATGATGTTTATCTAACTTACTTAATATTTATGATAAATCCTAAGTAAAGAATTATTTGTTGGAAGAATAAAACACCCCTATATAAAACTTCAACTATTTTTGAATAACAAAAATAGCCAATAATTACTAATATATGGGATGTATTTTAACCACCAATTGAAACACCTTGTGCGACCCACTACATAACTCAAACCTCAAAGTTTAAACTCTAACTAAATTTGAATCAAAGCAAAAGAAATAAAAGAGAAAGGAAAAGGACGGAGGCAGCAGCTCAGCCCAGCCTGCCTCGACCGGCCCAGCTAGCCCAGCCAAGCCTCGCCTGCCCTTTCACGCGCGCAGCCGCTGACAAGCCGGACCCGCCCGTCAGCCGTCACGCACCGCACGCCGCCGCATCGGGACAAGCTGACAAACGGGCCCCCTCTGTCAGCCACCCAGCTACAGCGTCGTCGTCTTCCCCACGCTTTCTCCCCACGCGACCGGGAGCCGACCACGGAGCAGACGCGGGCCCAGGGTCACGCGCATCGCATGACCCTGTTCCCCCTTGCGCCGCGTCCATGCTACCGCACGCGGGCCGTCCGATGTGCCGCACGCATCACCACCGCCCGATCACCGTCCACCATTGGAGCCCTTGGAGCTCGGCTATAAAAGCCAACGCCCGCGAGCCCTAACCCTCAGCCCGTTCGCCGTCGCCGCTGGTGGCACAGCGCCACCCCGTGTCAAGCCGAGAGAGAGGGAGGAGGAAGAAGCAAGGAGGAGAAAGAAGCCGCTGCGGAACCAGACCTCGCCGGAGCAAGGAGCCCCGCCCCGATCGGCTACAGCGACGTAGCTGCTCGGCACGGCACTGCATCGCCTCATCACGGCCTCGCCTTGCCACCGCACCGCCATCCTACCGCAACGAGCCCTACGGTGAGCCACGTCGTGCGCCGCTCACCGCGCTAGCCGTACTCGCCATGAACACCACCGCGTTCCCGCACCTGGGGAAACGCAGAGGCGGAGCTTTCCCGCTCTTGGACACGCTGCACACGCACCGCACGCGCACCAGCCCAAGGCCTGGCCTCACCGACCCCTAGCTGCTCGGGAACACCGGCACAACCATACCTAGCCTCTTGAACGCCATGAACGGACCACGTCGGAGCACGAGCTCTTGCTCCGGCTTAGCCAACCGGTAGCATAGAAGGACCACCACGACCCTCTTGTTGAGCCAAACATAAACACGAAGCAAATGGAAGAAAGGGGGCGACGCCGAGCCCTCTGCTCGGGAACGCCAGCGCCGAGCGCTCTACTTATGCCATGCATACGCACCACACGCACGCATGCGCCCACCATGGCCAGAGCACAACCATGGCGAGACCACCGCGTCTTCTACGTCGCGGTAAAGGCGACGTTGACACCCTGACTGGCTCCGCCATGACGAGAGACACGCCGCGCTCACCTTAGCCGAGGATGAAGCCCACCGGAGCCCTGCGTTGCCGCACCGCACCTCGTCGGAGTGCCACCGCCTCCGCTTTGCCCCCACCATCGTAGCCGGAGCCACTAGGAGCACCAGGAGCTCCTTCAACACGCCTACCATGGTCGTAGAAGCACCGTGGAGCTCACACGCTCCTCCAACTGGACTCTCGCTACCACTGCAGCCTGTCCATGCACGCCGACGAACCCACGCCGTCGTTCACCGCGGCCAGCCAACTGGAACCGCCCGACCACCTCGGCCAGCCTTCCGACCACCTCGGCGACCTTTCCGACCACTTCGGCGATCTCACCGACCACGTCGGCGAGCTCTCCGACCACCTCAGCGATCTCACTGACCACGTCGGCGAGCTCTCCGACCACCTCGACGACCTTTCCGACCACTTCGGCGATCTCACCGACCACGTCGGCGAGCTCTCCGACCACCTCAGCGATCTCACCGACCACATCGGCGAGTTCTTCGACCACTTCGGCGATCTCACCGACCACGTCGGCGAGCTCTCCGACCACCTCAGCGATCTCACCGACCACGTCGGCGAGCTCTCCGACCACCTCGATGACCTTTCCGACCACTTCGGCGATCTCACTGACCACGTCGGCGAGCTCTCCGACCACCTCAGCGATCTCACCGACCACATCGGTGAGTTCTCCGACCACTTCGGCGACCTCCCCGACCACCACACCAGCTGGTACACCACTCCAAGACCACGAGAACCAGTCACAGTCTGACACGTGTCAACCCTGAATTAATCAGCCTTAATTAAATCTTTAGAAATATATAACTAATTCATACGATCTCAGAAAAATACAAGACCAGGACCAAAATCCATCTAAAATTGAGCTCTACGCAATGAACCCATGTTTGAGTGCATTTGGCTCTTTTGAATTTTCACTGCTTCTTTGTGCTATTCTATAGGCGTCGCTAACACGACTATAATGCGATCGTTTGCAGACTCGGAGGAGAACCGGACGGACGAGGATCGTGAGTACCGTGAGGAGTACGGAGATGACTACACTGAAGGTGCCACATCCCACCCAATCTCGTAGCACCTATTACGCATGGCTAAAATAGAAATGCTAGTACTTTACTTTGTTGTTATGATCACACTACGATAGGACTTGCATGGTAGTATACTTTCTTGATGACCTTTGCCTTGACGCAACCTTACCCCTACTCACCCTGCTGATAGGCTAGTCACACGCTTGCTACTATATTTCATTGCTTATTACTTCTACTACGCTTGCACTACATGGTGCGTGGTGGAGAACTGGTGTTATCTAGACTATGAGGAGAGTGCTGCGTGTGTGACTTGGGTGCATGGAGGGTGAGGGTTGTGTCGACCAAGTTAGAGTATACGACGAGCCTAGGGCAAGTCTTGCCGTGGGGTGCTACCTGGGCACCCCTGGAATGGATACCTGTGGTGGGTAAATGGTATATGAGGTGGCCCTAGGTGTGAACCTATGATGGGAGGAGCCCAGGGTGGAGGTGCTGTGGTGGCACGGTAAATAGAAACCCTGATAGAGACATTCTGGCTTGGTCATCCCTAAGGACTTACTAGTACTCAGATTCACCGGAAAGCCTTACGTACCACTCGCCCTATATGGTGCGGGACGGCCGGACTACTTGGTAGGATATTGCCACTACTGCTAGGTTGATAGCGGATAGTGTGAGGGAGGTACGGGATGCGGAGGATTCCCCCCACACCCTTCCGAGACTTCGTGGAGACCTTGTGGACCTGGTTCATGACTCACAGTTTCAGCTACCCCAGACCCGACTTGGGGTGAACCAGGGCTGAATGGTAGAGTGGCATTATCCTAGGCTAGCAAGCGGCCGGAATCAGCTTAGTTGACGACGGTCAGCGATGAAGGCGGATCTTGTGGTTATGTAAAACCTCTGCAGAGTGTATGGTTGATCAATCGATACATATGCCGACTTGTCGGCAATAGACCTTTCCTGGGTTTTGCTTAAACTAGATAGTGAGATGAGTCCTTCTTTTCTCCCCTTGGAAGTGAGTGTTTGGACGTAGCCAAGGGCTACGGGCCTTGAGACAGTGCCGAGAGGGAGTTGGCATGTCGACTGAGCGATGGTATGGGAGTAGTATGGTGATGGTGTGGAGATGGTGGTGTATCGATCCCAGAATCGAAACCTGGCTCTGGAATGGGAATGGGGTGGAATGGGTGTGTGAATGGTGTTAAAACTTGACCAACTATTAATAAATACTTGATATAGGAAACCCCAGCCTTATAGGTTCCTTTTGATTATATCCAACTTGCATCCAATTTCCACAAAGCAATGCTCATAGGGTTGGGAGTGACCAGTACAAATCGTACTGATAAATTTTGGCACACAGGTTCTGCTGAGGAGTATAGCTCCAAGGAGATTGACGGTTGAGGGGTTCATTCCTACGCTCGAGTTTGGCGATCTTATCTTCAAGCTGTTCTGAATGAATGCTACTTTTGATTCCGCCAATGCGGCGATGTAATAAACTTATGTAATTCCGTACTATTTGTACTATGATATTATCGTTGTATGGATGTGATATTCGACTAGAATTTGGGTAATATGATCTACAACGGTCTTATTACACTTCGACACTGTGGATTTCCCTCGCGGAAATCGGGGTCGCTTCAGTTGGTATCAGAGTCATACTTGACCATAGGACGAAACCCTTAGAAATGGACGATAGAATAGAACGTGAACAACCCTTCTTTCGATTATATACCGACCCTGCATTTACTTCTATGCCAGGCTTATCTATTATTGACCTGCTAACACCTGATTCCTTAAAACATGCAGATGGCAACGAACGTCGACTGGCCGCCTCTAGGACCGCTACCTCTGGACCACGCCAAGCTTACCTTCGACCTACGTGAGCTTGGGGGTTTTGCACAGATCCTCTGCTGAGTTCTCATCACGTTAGGTGTCCCCGACGAGCTTGTCAAGGTCACCTGCACCGGGAAGCCAGCTCAGGAAGGAGGAATCGAAGAACCGGTGGTCACCTCAGTCGAGTTCCCAGCTAGCACTACCCTACCTTCTGTCCCAGCCTTCACCGAGTTGACTATAGAGGACACAGTCGAGGAGGGACTACAGGCTATCTCACACAAGGCACTTCGCAGAGTGATGAGGGACCACTATGAGCACCTGAAGACGACAGAGTTCCGTCTACTTCCCCAGGCCCTCGACCTCAGCCT